AGCTCCTTGTGGCCTATGTCATTAAGAAGGAGACTATTTCAGCTCCTTGCGGCCTATGTCATGAAGATCTTGTTCGAAGTTTGTTAATTGCAGGTCTGGACCCAGGAGGGTCCCAATTTCCCAGCAAGATGACCCTCCAATGCCAAGCCCAACCCAAATCAGTCAGGCCTCTCCAAGTACAATCCCATCTCCTCCACATTAACACAACACCTGCACATGGCCTGATCTCATCTGCATTCAGGAGACTCACCTCCTTGACAACCCAGCTCACCAACGAGCTCACAAGTTGGCATGGCCCTTTCAGAAATTTGCCGCTCATGCTCATCATAGTGGATCAGCAGGGGTGGCTTTTTGGGTTCCACCAGATTTCCGAATGGAAATAATTCACTGGGAAGCAAACAAGGTACAGGGGCGTTGGATTTGGGCTATTGTGATGTTAGAAATAGAACTTATAGGTGTTATGAATATTAATGCCCCAAATGATGTAACTGAAAGAAGGCAATTTTTCAATGAGATATGCAATCATATTCCCAAGGACATTCCTATGGTGATAGCAGGGGACTTTAATGCTGCCCCTGATAGATAGATGGTTGGATCGCTCGAAGATCCCCCAACCCTGCCCGCCATATCTGGAAGAAGATGTGAGAATTATTCAACAATTCTGTGAATCACAAAAGCTTTTTGACTTGTAAAGAAGGCTATTTCCTCAAGAGTGAATCTACACATGCATCAGAAATTGTGGTTTTCCCCATCAATCTAGATCAAGAATAGACTAATAATGTTATCTGATGACCTTGATCGAGCAGTGATCGGAGATAATATTTTTCCACAAAGCCCGTGGCCTGGAGCTGATCATAAGATGTGTGCAGTACTCTTGTCATTTCGTAAGAAACCTGGTCAGGGTCGAGGCTTTTACAAATTGAATACCTCACTTCTGGCCCAAAAATGTTTTAGGGACTTCTTTCAAGAAGTATGGGTATTCTGGCGTTCGACAATGGACAGACATGACACCTACATCTCATGGTTCAACAATGGGTTAATATTCCTAGCCAAAAAATGTAATGAATATTCTAAACTAATTACCAAAGCTAAATTTGCTAAAGAAATTGAAATTCAAGAACATATCATGAACTCTGAACGATATCATCCATCATAACTGAATGATCCAACCAAATTACAGTCATTGAAAGCTATGTTGCACGCCCGGCCGCGGCCGGGGGGTCCGAATCGGCCGCGGCCTAGATCGATGACCGAATCGGCCCGGTTCGGCCTGGGCCGACCAGCCGAGTTCCGTACATGATTTTTTTATCCCCATTTTTGACGTGAAAAAAAAAAAAAAAATCGGCGTGTAGGGCTGAAAAAGCCCTACATGCCCATATTTTTTTTGGGGG